TTCCAGCCTCCTTCTATCTTTCAGGACATTTTACCACATTTCTACCAGGGAGCAGGGAATAGTTTACGAGAGAGAACAGGTCTTGAGTCAGAGAGGTAAAGTTACAGCTCGGCTCCACGATCCATGGGCGGCCTTGCATTTAGCCTCCCTGAACCTCTGTCTCTTCATCTGTAACATGGGGTAACACCCACAGTGCAGGGCCAAAGGGATGATTAAATGCAACCACCTGAAGAGAATATGGGGTGTTGCTCCAAATGTTATCCCTTTTGTCAAAAGTAGTTTTGAAAATAGGATCCGATCAACAAAAACCAGAAACTAACAGCCAACGTGACATTTTAGGATTATCAGAGAATGTTAATGAATCCCTGGACGCATGGCTGACAGAGCACTGTCCATGGTGAGCAGCTGCCTCAGAAATGCCCAGGTGAGCAGGAGGATTTCTTTTTTATTCTTATGTATCTGGGTTGGTAAAGAAATGCCGCGTTGGTGTCTTATCCTTCGATTAGAAATCCCCCACTAGAGCTCAGCATGTAACTAACCCACAGAAGGATACGTACTTTCTGGGTGAGCCGTCATTGAATTTCCGCATCACGCTGCACACGCAAATGCAGAGTTGAGGGCTGATTTCTATCCCCTGCCTGACGTCCATGATGACTGGGAAACAGTGTGCTGTTCAACCTTCTGCTGAAGAGACCTTCCTTAGAACCATATATAAGAGGCCAGAGTTCAAAGAATCTGAAATATGACAAAGCAGATTTGGAGGAAAGATACTGACCTATCCTTTCTGATTTGTCTGCCATTAGCCATTAACATGAAACTTCTCAAATTATAGTATGAGTGCCAGGGCGTAGGTAAAGCCACAAGATTACAAAGGTGCACTTTCCTGCAGCATCAGTGTCCTCGGGGAGAGTCTGTGGATCGTGCAGAGATGGCTGCACTCGTGTGTTTACGACTCCCTGCACCAGAGAGCACTCGGGGTGGGGGAAAGGTTGGGAAGCACTACGGAGGGTGAGGGGAAAACACCAATGTACTGAACACCCACCTGCCAAGATCTGCGCTCGGTGTCTGCACACTGATCTCAGTTCATTTCTTACTTAGTCATTCAATGATCCTGGGAAGATGAGGAGGGAACAGCCAGGGACTTTAATGATTGTTTTCACATACATTTTAACTAGGTTTTCAGAACCCAGCTCAGCATCTATATCACATCCTTTGAGTCTCGGGCTCGAGGTGAGAAAAAAGCACCAGGAACTTGGCAGTGAAAACACACCAGTGGCAAGCTCAGACGTGAGAAAACTGGTAGATGTAGATACAGATGTGCTGGCGAGGTATGAATTCTTGTGGTTTACCTTAAAAGGTCTACTTTTGAATATAAACAAATGATCAAATTTACTAATAAGCTCTAATAAGCACCAACACATGATACATTTATATATATGTATATATAAAATTATAATATTATATCAAATCTATATCTATTTAATTCTTAGAGTTTATTTTCATTCCCTAACCCAATTAATCAGGAAATAAGTTTGCTCCCGACACGAACTCCAGCCAGTTTGTGCGGCAGAATTTGGCCAAGGGATGCACCTTCTCTAACGTAATGCTCACTTCTTCTCCCCAGTCCAGCCAGAATGTTCCTTGTCTATGCTGCTGTTCAGTGCTGCCCTCTGAGTTACTCTCACCAACACGAGAGGACCCCACTACCTTAGCTGGTTAGAAACAAAAGCTCCCTGAATCAAATCAGCCCCTTGGGTCTGTTTTGTCCGTCCTTTGACCCCTCTCCTTTCTACGAACACATATGACAGGTATCTTAGGTAGTGAGTGCCCATGAAACATACAAGCGTCAACTCTATTTTTATTGGCCTTAACTATCATATTTTACACCCATCCTGCTGGGCTGCCTTGAGACTCTCACAAGTATGGTCAAGTGTTTATCAGCAGTTTAAAAAACTCTTAACAGGCCAGAAATACAAACTGTCCATTCAGTAAAACATGCCCATAAAAGAATCATTTACTTTTCATGATCATTTACTTTTTATGACATAACCAGAATTGGGCAAAACACTAAAACCACTGTGAACACACACTCATCTTCTTTCACTGACTCACAAAGGAGCTAAGGAGCTTGCTGTGTGCAGAAGATGTAAGACGTGTTGGATGGGAGTATTCGGAGGAAGTAGCTACCAAAAGTGGATACTACTCAGGAAACGGAGATGCTCTCAGGAGAAGCAGTCTTTGGTTTCTGTGACAAGCAACAAACCTCTTCCTCCAAAGATGCAGTGGCACAGCAATTCGGTCTCCACTCGGTGCCGCTAGCCTTCTATTAGGAGCGTGTATCAACTACCATCGAAGAGAAAGAATGCCTAAAATAATCGTGGCAGATTTCACAGGCTGGTGCACTGCTCTGGGGTACGCTTACTTTAAGAACATCTCTCGTTAAACTGCTGCCCCAAAGAGCAAAAGGCATTAGAGAATCAGCCCACTTCCGTTGAATTTCTCCATCGCCCTATCTCACCTTTGCATCCTTGTCATTCTTATCGCCTCATCGAAAATAAAATTCACAAAGAAAACACAACTTAGCAAGCACCGGATGCGTATCCTCGTAGTTCCCAGACTCCTCGCGTTATCCCTGAGCACAGCCACTAGAGCACGGTGCCTCACTGCTAGTGATGGAGAATGTGAGCAGTCCCTCCATCGTGCATGAGCTCTAGCGACTCCCCCAGCCAAGCCCGGTGATGCTCCCGCACGTTCCGGTAAGGCCAGAACACGTGGCAGAGCGTAAGGGCTCATGCACTCACAGCCTCTCCTTTCCTTTATCTCCCAGGAAGCAAAGACCACGTTCTCTGAGGTCACCCTGAGATTCCGAGAGAACAGACCTGACAAAGCTCTGAAACAGCCAGTCCTCACAGACAGCCCAAGTCTGCTCAGCAATAAATAACAGGGAGATAAAACGGCAAGCTTCCATCATCACTTCTTTGTGCATTTCCGAGGATGATGGTGGATTCTGGGACCCCTGGACATTTCAACACTACTCTTCAGAACGGAGTTTATCATGATTATGACATAAGGTTCTGTGTATCGGCACATTTTTGAACCCTGAGTCTGATTTCTGGTGCTTTTGTAACTAACTCACCCAACCTAAGATTGTTTGTGAATATGCTGGCTCCAGATAGATGTATATTTTGGACTTTGGTTGCCAGGAAAATTTCAGACTCCCAAGACTGGCTGTCAGTCTTTGGTTATTCCTTCTTATCTGAGCAAGACTCAAGTTGTTGTAGCACTGGAGATGCAAGAAACACTCTGACCATCAGACTTTCTTGTGCCTTTGATCTCTGCTCGTCAAGTTTCACCAAAATTGAACTGAACCCAAAGAAACCCAAAGAACCCAGAGAAAAATTTCTCTTTGAAAAAGTAATTTTATCACAGAAACTGCAAAATATATATATTAACCTTTCATCTGATTCAGAAACTATGAAAGGGAAATCTGCCAGTAAAAGAAAATAAGGTAAAAAAAAAAAAAGAACACAGAAAATATATGTTTCAAATGTCTGTATTATCTACTGTGGAAATATCTCCACGGTAGTTTCAGACAATGATTGTCATGAAGATAAATATAATGTGAGCTATGTGGTACGTGTGTGTTTCAACTCTCTATAGTTAACGCGTCACAGTACAGGGGTGAATTACATTTAACCTCTTTTTGAATGGAAAAGCAAATGATAGACTTGTCATAGTAATATCTTATCTGTTTGATAAACTGGGTTAGTGTCACAAATCATATAGATCACATTATCCCCACTACAGCCCTCCTGTTGTGAAAACAAACCACGGCGGTCAAATCAACTTTTTATTTATTCATCTAAATTCAGGTCTGCTGCCAACACAGCAGTAGGCTGGGTGACAGTGACTGCTGGAATGTGTTTACTTCTTATTTGAAACTTAAGTGATATTGATCTTATGGTAAAATGAAATCCTGACTGCTACGGCAAAAGATTAAGAGTGGGAGTTTACCCCCACTTTATTATCCTGTGTGCAAGAATATTGTTCACGGAGACACAGGAATACAGATCAGCAGTGACCCCCACCTTCTGATGTCAGCATGGGCTTCTTTCACCCACTTCCCTGGACCCCTGCAACAGGAACCTTCTCTCCCTCCATCCTCACCTGCTTGTTGTCTGTTTGCTCCTTCAAGAATGCCCTTCTGAAAGCTTGGACCTTAAGGCACCACTGACAGCATCTAAAATAGCGCCTGGCACGTCGGATTGGCAGACTGACTCAGGGAGCATGTGTGGATGGAATGACTGAATGTACTGACTTAGCTTCTGAGAAAGGAAACGGAGTGGATGGCCTCAGCCCTTTACAATGCACTCAACCGGCTTCACCTCCTGCCACCTACCTTTGTTCCAGTTCAGCGCCACAGGGCATGCCCAGACAGGTTCACTTTCGCTGGCTGGTGGTTTTGTGCGTCATTCAAAAAGTCAACACATTAGAAAAAGACACACACAGGAGTCATTCCTCTATTCTCAATCGCTCTCTTCCCCTCTGCCTGCTCCAGATGCACAACTGTGTCAGTTCCCTGTTTGCCCACATAGCATTTCTTTATGCAAAAAGAAGCAAACGCACCTATAAATTTTCATATCCCACTCTTTCTTACATAAAGGTAGTGTACTCCATACACTGCTCTCCACCTTGCTTCTTGCACTTGGCAATGTACCTGAACATCACCCTACATCAGTACATAGCTCTCCCTCACTCTCTTTTAACAACTGCCTGACATTCCACTGTACACGTACACTGTCCTTTAACCACTCCCTTATTGACTGATGGATACCTGGTGGCTTTGATGTTCTGGTGTGATATACAAAGCTTTGGTGATAATCAGGTACAAATGTCATTTCGTTACACGTGCAGGTGTGGGCATGGGAAAGATTCCAGGACAGGACTGCACATCAGTAACAGAGGTTCATACTGTCAGATTCCCCTCCTGGAGGGTTGTTAAAAAACACTGGTAGGTGACTGTAAAGACATGATGACATCTTAAATGTATGTGTGTGGTGTTGGTCCCTAAAATTTTTCCCACTCTTCTCAAGGGGAGTGCTAACCACATTCTTCACTTTCATTAAACCTAGACTATTTTAAAATTTAAGTCAACGCAGCCTCCCCTGCTGGTGGTCAGAGATCAGTATTCCTCTTCTACATCCATCCATCATTTCTCTAGGAGAACAGACTTTCCCTCTAGCAACCTATTAGAGGAAAACAGGCCCTCTAAAACAGCCCTGAAAGCCTAGTTAATACGGGGGAAATGAAATTTTTATAAGAGTATTCAGGGATTCTAAATCAGCAGCAAATATTTTTTTCATCACAACACCCAAAATGACATGGAAAGAAAAACACAAGTGAATATTTAAAAACCTTATTCATTCCAATTCAGAGGGGACTCTCCCCTCAAACAAGTTTATATTCTCAGAGGTTTTAGTAATTCATGATTTTTTTTTCACAGCAAGAATCTCAAATTAGAAAATGATGCCTATTTGCAGAATTAATGAAAAGGTCCTTTTCCCACCCCTTCTACAGAAGCCATGAGGGAACAACACACTTTCACGTGAGAATCTCGGCGTTCAGGAAACTGACCCTCTGGTTTAGGACATTTATTATAGCCAAGGAGCACAAAAGCAATGATCTGCTTTTGCACCAGCATCGTTTGCTAAACATACACATACTTGTCCAAATTCATTCCTTTGTGTGATACACAGTTGACCCTCGAACAACACGGCGGTTAGGGGCGCCAGCCCTCCTGGAAGCCGAAAATCCGAGTATAATTTGCAGTGGGCCCTCCATACCTTTTGGTTCCTCCATATCCACAGTTCCGCAACCTAAAAGATCCACAGATCAACCAACCGCAGACGGTGCAATGCCATCGTCATTAAGCTGAAAAAAACCTGCATGTAAGTGGACCCACCCAGTACATAACTCCATGCTGCTCAAGGGTCAGCTGGACTTTCGTACGATGCCTTCACTTGGCATGGACAGGATGATATTAAATTAAATGCTAATTTAAGCTTCGATTCCAGAGACAGCTAGTCAACCTGCATCAGTAACTCACACTCCACCCACCATAACAGGCACAAGGACCGTCTTAGCTGGTTTATTCACACCAGTTCCAACCTGGAAATAAACAAGTGTCCACCGAGGATAGAATGGCATCCAAATTTCACACAGTGGACCACCACACGGCAGTGGAGGAAAATGAACAATGTATACAAGCAACAACATGAATAAATCCCACAAAGTGTAAGCAGGATGCCAGCTTTCTGGAATTCAAATCAGGCAAAACTAACTTATGGTGACAGAGGTCAGAACGGTGATTACCTTTGGGCAGGGAGGTGTTGTTTCAACTGGGAAAAGGGGACCAGGGAGCCTTCTAGGGTGCTTGTAATGTTCTACGTCTTGATCTAGGGGGTCAGTACAAGGGTTAAAAATTTTTGAGATTTGTGAACTTTACGGTATGCAAATTCTATCGGAGCTGGTCAGCTAGCATCCTAACCAAGCAGTCCTTACTCTGGGAGTGGCAACTAGAAACACCTGGGCTATTACATTCGAGTAATGCTAGAGCCTCTACCAACCAGATCCTCAGAAATGATTTTTTTTTCCTTGATGAAATTGGTAGTTTGTTAATTAGCATGATAAGTGTTAAGAATGGGGTAAAAAAAATTTTTAGGTCCTCCCTGTCCTGGTCCATACTCTGATTTCAGAATATGCCTGGAAACAAAGGATGGTTTCCTCTGCTTTGTGAAGGATCAGCAGCAAACACTGCCAGCCCCACCCCCCTGCTCCTCCTCCCCAGTCGATGGCACCAACTTTTCACAGCACCTGGATGGCGCATCTCAAACCTCTCCTTTGATGAAGGGACAATGGACACGTTGGGAAAGGAGAAGCCTCCCAAAGCAAGGGCTGCCTCAAGCCCCCACGTCTTTGCCTGGTTCCTGGGCCCCAGGGACAGAAGGTCCATCAGCCAGTGACACTGACTACCAGGACACTCAGGCATGGGCACCTCTCCTCCAGGTGCTGAAACGTGCAGAAAGCCTTAGCTCTCCATTCTTCTTCCTCTTGGCCCTGCCCACCAAACACACACACACACACACACACAACCATCCTCAAGTCTCTCCCCACCCCACCCCCAAATGCAAACATGTGATTGGTATAGTCATTCATTCAACAGATATTCAGAGTTTGGGCAAAATCTGAAAGATGAGCATCTTTTAAAGATTTGTCTATTTCAAGAGTGCCTATTGTATGAATGACAGTATTTACTGAAACACACTCTCATCAGAACGTCTCTCGCTCACCTCAGTCAATTCATCACCGACGCTGAGATACAGGGAAGAATCCAGAAGGCACCCATGATGCTGGGGACCGGTCCCCAGGGCAAGGTAACTGTGAGAGGGAAGTCCTGCTGGCCCTTTCTCTGTGGCTGCCCCTCCTGGAGAAGGAGGAGGGCTGGCCGGGAGGGACAGAGGGTGGACGCCCAGCCCCTTCCCCCTCGTACTCCTGGGAACCTGCTAGAAGCCCGCCTACTGCTTTTCTCCCCTAAGCTAGTGTGGCCCGATCCAGAGGTTCAGAATGAGGACGCCCTTTACTGCCACAGTCTGCGGCCCTCCGATTTAGCTTTTCTTGGCAATAAAGTTAATATTCAGGTCTCCATCTGGCTGAGTCCTCAGCCCTTCTTCACAGCTGGTCCAGAGCTCAGGTGGGAAAGGTTGTGTTCCTGGGCCCACACACGTCACAGGTGGCAGGTTTGGTAGGAAGATGAAGGAGCTGGGAAGAGGCTTTGCAGGGGCCCCTGAACAATGCAGAGAGCGTGCCCATCAGCAGGACCTCTGGGGCTGGAGCACTGATATCTGCTAGGCAGACAGTGTGTGACTTTTTCATTCTTTTGTTCTGGAACAATGAGCATTTCCTAGACAGGTAACCTGAGAGACCCAACATTTAGTCTCCTTGAATAAAACACCACAGTCTCAAATAACAAAACAAAATGAAGTCGGGGGAGGGATAAATTGAGTCTGGGATTAACAGATACACACTGTTGCATATAAAACAGATAAACAACAAGGACCCACTGTATAGCACAGGGAATTATGTTCAATAGCTCATAATAATCTATAATGGAAAATAATCTGAAAAAGAATATATATGTTATATATAAAAACTGAATCACTTTGCTGTACACCTGAAACTAACACAACACTGTAAATCAACTATACTTCAATTAAAAAAAAATCAAAAAGACGGTCAAAGTCCTTGAACAATTATGGTATAAAGTACAAGTGGGAAACCTGCTGGGTGGAAAGCAAGTTACTGCCTCTTTCCCTAAATTGGCAGCGGTACAATTTACCTAAACAGTTTTAACGCTCAGTCTGCCAAACCTACAGGTTGACCCACAAGTCAACCCAACCTGCCTCAACCGATCCCATGAACCAAATCATTTGCAAATTTCCACCTCATCTTGCTATAGAGGCATAGTTTGTGTCTGTAAACTGTGACTCCTACTCCAGGAACAAGAGATGAAAGAACAAAATCAGAGCAGCACTCCCTAAAGGTATTAAACCTAAAACCATGAGCCTTCGAGATCATTTAGTTAGTCCTACGTCCTTGTTCCTCATACGAAGCAACTGTAGTAACATAAAGTAAATTCAGTATATGGCCTGACCATACCTGGGGAAATCGAATATGAACTGGATATTAGAGGATCCTGAAAAATTATTGTGTTAGTGGTGATCATGCTATTTTGATTATATGGGAAAACATTTTTCCTTCTTTCCTTTCTTTCTTGGGGGAACTGGAGGGTGGATATCCATACTAAGTATTGTAAAGGGTGGAATGTCAAGATACCTTTTTTATTGAGATATAATAGACACATAAAACTGTGTAAGTTTACGGTGGACCATATGCTGATTTGACACACTTACATACTGCAGTATGATTACACTGCAGGCTTAACCAAACCTCCATGACATCACGTAATTACCATTTCTTTCTTGTGGCGAGAACATTTATGATCTAGTATCTTAGCAGCTTTCAAGCATCTAATATGTATGTTAACTACTGTCACCCTGCTGTGCGTTAGATCCCCAGAACTTATTCTTCTTCTAACTTCAAGTCTGTATTCTTTAATCAACATCTCCCCAGTTTCCCCACCCCTCAGCCCCTGGTAACCACAAGTCTACTCTCTGCTTCTACAAGTTCAGCTTTTTTAGATTTCACAAGTAAGTGATATCACACAGTATTTGTCTTCCTCTGTCTGAATTATCTCACTTAGTATAATGAGCTCAAGGTCTACCCATGTTCTTGCAAATGGCAGGATTTCCTTTCTTCTCTTGGCTGGATAATATTCCATTTTATACGTTGATGAACACTTAGCTTGTTTCCATGTCTTAGTTAATCTGAATAATGCTGCAATAAGATATCTTAAATATATTTTAAAATACCTTAGCATTTTTTTTCACAAATGGAGATAGTTAAGTAAGTAAATGAATGAATGAATAGCTGCCCTGACCCAGGGTACGCACAGCTGGTTAACGGGGCAGGAGCTGGCTACCCGCCAAGCATCCTTCCTCTAATGCTTCACAAGGGACCCTTTACTGTGTCTTATACCCTCAACACCTGAGCAGCTACCCAAGGTGACTGCAGTCTGTCAGAAGGTCATTCAGGTTCTGCCCACTCAGCTTTGGAGGGACTCTGCATGCTTCAAATTAGTGTGGCAAACTGGGCTTGGATGAGCTGAGAAAGTTACCAGAGCGGCCTTCTTCTCAGATCCAGATGACCGAGTGATGGCCAAATAGTCACGAACACTGGTCTGGGTGGAAATTTGTCCCGAGTTTCCAAGACCCTATCAGTGGACCAAGAGACTAGACTCTCTCGTGCCATAAGAACAAAACCTAACAGAATTAGTGTAAAATCATACATAATAACCAGGAGCTGCTTCCCACGTACCAAGGGCTGTTCTAAGTGGTTCACAAGAATGATCTCAGCTAATCACTGCAACATTCAAAGAGATTACTGTCTCCGTCATGCATGAAGTGACCGGAGCACAGAGTTTAAGAAACTTGCCAAGGCCACAGAGCCCGCAG